GCGAGAAATAAGAGAGAAGCAAATTTAATCTGGTTTATAAAAATCACCCCAAAATGCTTCGGGAACAGAGTGAAGCACTTGCAGAGCCATTAGCTGTTCTCTTGAGACCATGGGAGAGCCGGAGGTTGGATCTCTCCAAGGCATCGTGGAGGAGCTGGGGGCTTCAGCTGCTCAGCATAGCCCCAGCGCAGGGTCGGGAGGGCCGAGAGCCAGGGGGAGCGGCTGTTTCCAGCTCTGCTCAGGTGATGGATGGCTCCAAACCAGATTTGCTTTCATGCTGGGGACGCTCCAGTGACTGCTCACGTGTGAAATGGGGACATGAAATGAGACCTGGGCTCCAGGTCCCTGTATTCATTTCTGGCTGCTGAAATCGCACATGTGAGATGCATTTGGACACCGGGCCGAGGAAGTAGCTTGAGTTTGGAGCACAACAGATGCCTCTTTGAAGGAGATGCCTTCAGGGATGTGCTGGGTTGTGTTTGTCCTGGGATGAAGGACGTGGCTCAGCCAAGGCTGTTTCATTTTCCTTCAATGTGAACACCCGTGTCTCTGCGGATGGCAACATCCGAAGGGATCAGAAACCACATCGTCTCTGGGCTTAAAGGTCTTTAATTCAGGGAAAACTTGAGTTCAGCGCTGGAGCCAGTAGATACTGACCCAGTGCTCCAGACTGAGCTCTGGAGATAGGTGGGGTGAGTATCCTCCCTCCGGCTGGGAGACGAGCATCTCCAGCTGCCCAGGGGGGCTCAGCCCCAGCACCCAGGCAGGGCTCTGCTGCACGCAGCACCGCTGTGGCTTCTCCAAAATATCCCCTTGTGCTAAAATACCTTGTGTGTATTTGCTGCTTTCCACCACCATGGGACTCACCGATCCCAAGCTGGTACCTGGGGAGGGGATGGGGCCAAAAACCCACGCAACGGTTGGAAGTCCCAAAAGCAAAGTATCTGGCGCAAATTTCTGGTGCTCACGTTACCCAGAGGGTGAGTGGCAGCCGGTTCCCAAGAGCTGCTCTGGGGACACAGAGGCCCTGCAGCCGGGTTGCATTAAAGGAGAAAGCTGTTTCCCTTTCGAGCTAATTGCAAAGGAGCTGCCCATGTCTATCTAGGTCAAGCCATAACCTGCTTTAGCCAGGCAAACTGGTGGCAGGACGCCAGTGTGACGCAGCATGACATGGCACTTGCCTGCTCCCTTGCCACCACGGTACACGGGGCACACACTGGGGGGTACCCGGTCCCTGGGGGCAGAATTTGGATGGGGTAGAAATCAATCTAGATGTGAATGAAGAATTTGTTTGGAAGAAGAATGGGCTGAATCTCTCCCGGGAATGGTTTTAGTTTGTGCTCATTAATAAAATGATGGGATGAGTAGGAGGGCTGCCTGGCACGGGAGGGGCTCCTCCTGGGACTGATGGGACGAAATAGAAACTTGGTGGGAGTTGCTTTGGTTTATCACTTTGGTGGCATCCCTGGGTGCGGGACACCAGCCCAAGGGTCCGGCTGGTGTTACAGCCTGGGGGAGCAGGGCTGCATCCACATCTCCCTTATCTCCCTTTGCCCAGAGCCGGGGGAGCCCCCGGCATCCCTAAAGCAGGGTGAAGCCCAAGGAAGGGTCACCCATGCTTAGCCAGCTGCAGAGAAGAGATGGGTGTCCTCAGAGACCCTCGAGGTATCTGCTGCAGGGAGGGAACAGCTCCGGAGCCTGGCTTCCAGCAGGCATTGACATATCCTGGAAAACCTCAACTCTGCGAGCACAAGAGGAGGATTGATTTTTTTTGTGGCCAACGTGGCAGCTTTGGCTTCTGCTGCAGCCACAGCATCGCAATGAAGTGGCCGCTGATGGGCTCAGAGGGGAGAAATGGAAGTTGTGCCCCTGAGAGAGAAATCCAAAGTGAATAGACTGGAAAAAAAAATATCTATAAAACCTGGTTACAGCCCCAATGCCACGTGCCTGGTGAGCAGGCAGGGCTGGAGGGTTGTTGCATGCTGATGATGCTCAGAGGGTGCTGGAGAAGATAAGGTCATAGCATAAACCTAGATGATCTTTTTTTGCCTGAGTTGGTTGAAGAGGAGCTCGGGACCAGCTTTATGGAGGCAGTGGCAGATGATCTCCCTCTGCGCTAGGAGAAAACCCACTAGCAGCAGCCCCTGGGGCTGGAGATGTTCATGCAAGGGACCTCAAGGGTGAAATAGGTGAGTTGGGGCAGTGGTTTAACCACTTGTGTCCGTGAGACTGGAGCTTTGCTGGCTCTTGGCCCCATCCCAGGCATCCTCAGCCTTATGGGTAGGAAGGTTGACCCTGTTGGCATTTGCACAAGCTATTTTGCAGCTCAAGGCTGTGAACTGCTCTGCCCTCAGGCACAGTACTCCTGGGGCAAGGGGCTGGGTTAAAGAGAGTGAAAAAATTCCAAAATTGGGGTTTGTAAGTGTAGGGCATGGGGCACAACCTGGGAAAGGGCTGAAGGGCTGAGGAGAGCTGGTTGCTGCTGATTTTCACTGCTGGGTGGGCTGCAAAGCGGGGATTGGAAGTATTGTGCCCCCAGGGATGTGCTGGTCTCCAGCTCCTGGCTGGTGCTGGGTGCTGAGCCCTGGCTGCCTTGCTCCCAGAAGTGACCTTTGTGGGTGCAAGGAAATCCCATGGGTGCAAGGAAAGCCCCACAAGGCCCCTTCCTGGCTCCTGCCACCCACCCTGCATCACCCTCGGGTGTGGGCTGGTGCCAGCACAGGGCCCCTCACTGGGTACTGTGGTTGTGCACCAGGGCCAGATCCAGACCTATTTGCCAGCGTGGGGGTGGCAGACCCCCAATGCCTGTCTCTGTCTCACCCCCCACAGCAGCTCAGGGACAGATCTGTCCCAGAGACCCCCCAAGCTTCCTCCATCCACTGGTGCTGTGACTCAGGGCCATGACCACGGTGAGCAGAGGCAGAGACGTCACAGACAGGATGTGGGGAGAGAGAAAACCTCCTCGGCCATTTCAAAGGCTTCAGTGAGAGCAAGCTCAGAGCTGTGTGTGTCAGTTCCCTCTTCCCCTTAGTTAAAATTGCCTTGAAAAGACCTTTGTAGCTCCTGGCTGGTGCTGGAGTCAGCGCTGTGATGCCTAGAACTTGTCCGCTGCATCAGCCCTTCTCCCCGTGACCCATGGCTCTGTTGATCAAGTGATCCAGCTCATGTGGGTCTGGCAAAAGGGAACTTGGGTGCATTCACCTGAGCGCTGCCTGTGTCAGGGACATGGCCACCCGGGGGGGGGCTCACTGTGGGGGATGCAGGGCAAGGCTTGGTCCTTGCAGACTCCCAAAAGCCTGGGGGGAGCAGGGCTTGGGGCAGCTGTAGGTTGGGGAAGAGGCAAAATGAGGCAGTTTGGGGGCATTTTTTGGACCTTGCTCATGTAACACCCTCTGCTGGGAGATGCAATGATTGCAGGGCTGAGGCTGCGTGCTGTTCCCATTGGGGTGATGGGAGCCATCCCCCTGCACCCCACGGCTTGCCAAGAAACCTTCTCCAGCTCCAGAGAAGCTTCATCTTGGCCAGGTGGTTTGAAAGGCAGCCAGGCTGCCAGCCCCGGGCTGCAAACAGAGCGGCTTGTGTGGCCCCATACCTGGGCAGCAGCATCCCCCAGCCCGCCAGGAATGGCTTCATTCAGCTCCAGCGCAGCCCCAAATGCGCTCACTGGAGCAGCCGCACAAAGACCCGCTTGTGCTGGCTGCACCCACCCAGCCTGAAGCCAGCTCTGGGGGAGAGGAACCCCACCATGGGTGACAGGGACTGCGGGTGGCTGACCTGGAGCTGATGGTCCCCCCTATGATGCTTGGGGACCCCAAAAAGGTTCCACTCCCCTGCCCAGGGGTTTTCCTTTGAGCAGGCTGAGCAAAACTGTACTGGAGGGACCCATGAAAAGTGTGTCCTGTGAGATTTGTGGCACCCAGCACCCATTTGCCTTTAGGTTCGCTGTGGCTGTACTGGGGCAAGGGGGCAGAGGTTGGCACAGGCAGCCATGGAGCCACATCTCCCTGTCTTTCTAGAGACCACTCCATCCCCTGGAAAAAATTTTTTTGTGTGTTTTGAGTTTTTTTTCCCAGAGAGCTACAGGCGGGAGGTGGTTGGAGATGAAGCTTTGCTCCACGGCTGATTTTCTTGCTGAGCTCTGCTCTGCCTGCCCAGGCAAAGCCTGCGGGAGGGATGAGCTTCTCCACTTGCTGTGAATGTGCCAATGGCCCTGTCACTAGTGGTGGCAAAGACAGCCCTTCCTGCCTGTGGGTGCCTTCAGTGGGATGGGGTGGTGTGCCAACCCCCCCGTCCTCATCTGCATGGAGCAAAACGCCAAGGCAAGGGGATGTGAGGCACTGTCTGGGTGGTGGTGCCAGGGAGAGTCACTGTGGGACAAGATGAGGCGCATGGAGAGATGGGGTGGGTGGCATCACTTGGGGGGATGTTGGGGATGGGGAGGGCAGAGATGGGGCTCAGACATCAGTAAGGGCCTGAGGAATGGGTTGATGGAGCTGGTTGATCCTCGTGCCCCTGGAAGGTGGTCTTGGGTGATCAGGAGATGGTCTGAGGTGGCTGGGAGATGGTCTCAGGTGACCAGGAGATGGTCTCAATTGACCAGGAGGTGGTTTTGGGGACCAGGAGAAAGTTTTGGGTGGCCAAGAGGGGCCCATCTTGCCTGTGGTGCAGCCTTACCTGCTGGGGGTCTGCGCCCATGTGGCCTTGCTGCAGGGACCTGCCATAGGGACCTGGGGACATGGGGATGGGGCTGCGCAGGGTCCCTGGGGCAGGACATTACATGTGCCCTGGTCCTGTGGATCCCTGTGGGGGGACATGAGGTGTGTCCTCACCCTGGGGTGTGGGATGCAGTGGCCTCCTCCTGGGATGGGGACATTAACTACCTACAGTCAGTGGGGGCCAAGACCAGGCTCCAGTGTGGCCGTCAGGATGTGGGTGCCCCCCATGCCCATCCCATCACCGTGCTGGGCCCTGCTCAACCCTCCTCTCCCCCCACAGCCTCACCAGCAGCCACCTCACCAGGATGAACGGGACAGCCAACGTCAACCCTGCTGGCCGCAGCCACTACGTCTCTGCCATCCCAGTGCCCCGCACCGTGGCCCACAGCAAGCCACATGCCGTCGCCCCCCCGAGCATGCCGGGGCCCCCTGTCCCCCATGGGGCTCCGTCTCCCCGGCCAGGGAAGGTGCTGGTCCCCAGCCCCAAGGCCCTCAAGCCCAAAGGCACTGGCAGAGCCACCCGTCGTGAGCTGGCAAAGGGCAGGGAGGGCAGCCCTGGCATTCCCCCCCGCGGGGGACAGAAAGCCCCAGCGAGACCCCTGGTGTCCCCTGGGAAGTGGCCAGAGGTGGTGGGCAGCAGGAGGAGAGGGGCAGGCAGGGTGGGGGAGCCCACCGAGCTGCCCAAAGGCCCCCCAGCACAGGGCAGGGGTGGGGGATGGCCAGGGGTGTCCCCTGGGAAGGGCAGTGGGGTGGCCACAGCGGGGACAGGGGATGAGCCGCATGGTGGCTCACAGGGCAGGGGCCCCATGTTTGGGTCAGGGACCATCACCTTCTCCTCAGGCCCCTCACACAGCCGTCCTGTCACCGCCACCGTGGCACCCTTCCAGTACCGGTGAGTCCCTGGGGAATGGGGGCATGGGGCTGGGGGGGCAGGCTTGGAGATAGGGGGACATGGTGACAGGGGGACATGGGAAGGGAGGTGGGAATGGCAGGGGTGGCCATGGGGGAATGATGGGGTTGGGTCTGGGGGCTCTGCCCCAAAAGGAAGGTTCCCGCTGGGTTTGAGGTGCTGGGGGCTCTTGAAGCACCCATGGGAGCTGGTGTGGGGCAGGGCATGGGGTCAGAGGCGAGTGGGGTGCCCTGGGACCCCCCCTTGCCATGGCACTATTGTCCCCAAACCCTAGGAGAGCTCAAGGCACTGTGTCTCCATCTCCTGGGGGTCCTCAGCTGGATGCACCCTGTGATGCACCCCTGCTCCCTCACTCTCACCCCTCCTCTGCCCCCAGACTGCAGGAGGACCAGGAGGAGGAAAGGGCCACATCCCCGGGTGACGAGTGTCCTGGTCCTGTGGAGGGACCTGACCCTGACCCCAAAGCCAGAGGCCTGAGTGAGTCTGAGGGGGGGGGGTTTGCTGGGGATGAGGAGGTCCTGCTGGGGGGCTGCCGGGACAGTGCTGAGGGGCAGAGGCTCGTGCCAGAGCACAGACCCCTGCAGCCCCGTGCCAGAATGGAAGCCGGGGCTGGAGGTCTGTGCGGCAGCGGAAGGGAACCCCACACAGGAGGTGCCCCAACTCCCTTGGGAATGACACGGCTGCAGCAGCTGCCGTGTCTGGTGACCCCCGTGGCCAAAAAAACTACACCTGGTGGCGTGGCCTCACCCGGGCACAGGATCCATGTCAGCATCCCCTGTGGTGGCTCCGGCACTGGGGGACGGTCCCCTCTGATGACGCTGCCGGGACATCACCCCGCTTGGCTCCTTCCCAGTTTCCCAGCGAGCTCCAGGGATGACCCATTTCCAAGAAGCCGGCAGAGAGCCGGCGCGGAGGCGGGTGCCGTGGCACTGCTGGCTCCCCACACCCACTGCAGGGACACCCCCTTTCTTGGGGACCGAATGAGCCCAAATACAAGCTCCCCGCTGCAATGTTGGGGACACCCCAGTCCCCTCTGGTGCTTGCTTTTGGGAGTGATTTTGGGGGGGCAGCTGCTGGAGGGGATGCTGGGGCGGTGGTTGCCAGGGCAGCGGCAGTGGAGGATGGCGGGATGCTCCAGGGATGTGCAGGGAAGGGGAAAAAAAAGAGCTGGGAGCTTCACCGGGTGATTCGAAGGGACAGAAGTCGGTCAGAGCCACCACGGCTCATGGCACAGCTCAGCTTTGCAATAGGGTCCCGGCACCACCACTGCACAGCCAGAGGGTAATGGGGTTCAGCGCTGAGCCCCGATTTGGGAAGCACCAAAACCTGTGGCTAGCGGGAGGATTTTCTGGGAGAAAGCAGGAGGGGAGTGAGCGGGGCTGGCGTGCTCCCAGCGCAGCTGCCCTGCTTGCCTTGGGGGAGGTTTTGGGATGAGGCCGAGCGGGTTCTGTGCTGGGGAAAAGGCCGGATACTTTCCCTTGCTCCACACCTCCCCCAGGCGCCCCAGGGACATGGCACCTTCTGGGGCTCTGTTGGGCCGAGCCAGAGGGGACAAGGGGACATTGGGAGGCCCCAAGGGTCACCTCGCCAGCCCCAAAATGACATGACACCCAGGCTATGGCCTCGTAGCTCAGCAAGGGCTGTAACAGTGCCCCAAACTTAAGTGGCTTCGGGGTGCAGCGGGGCGGCTTGTGCACCCAACCTGCCCCAGCAGCACCTTTCGGTGCAAAACACCCTTTTTTTTGGCCACCCTTTGCTGTCCCATCCAGGCCGGGTTATTCTGGGGCTCCTCAGCATCACCATGGGCTGAACCCTAAATCACCCAGGGTGGCTGTGCTGCCGTACAGGGGGCCAGGCTGGGGGGCTCGTGCCGCCCCCGGCCCTCCCGGCTCCTTATCTCGGCAGCATAGTGATGGGCTCTAATGCAATATTTTCCGGCGGTTGCCATGGCAGCCTGCGTGAGGTCACCAAATAGACTTAATTCACCCCTCCCAAGGGACGGGTAATTAATGAAAAATGATGATAACCAGATCCCGCTCACCCTCTTTTTCGCCCCCCTTAATTCCCCCAGATCACTGGAGAGGCCCTGCTGGGCTTGGGGGCCACAGTGTCCCTCGGGGGGGCTCCTGGGGCCACCCCGGGCCCTTCCTGCACTGTTTGGGGTGAAACGGGGAAGTTTTGGCCCCCCTGGGGATGGGTGTGCAGTGTCGGGGCTGGGTGCGGGGACCGCGGCGGGCGGGAGAGGGGGTGCTTCACACGTAGGGTGCTGGGACGTGGGCCCCCCCGCTGGCTTCACCCACCTCCCAGCCAGCACCCAGCACGTCCCTGCCTGCAAGGGGCGGCGGGAGGGAGCGGGCACGCTCTGGTCGCCGAGGCCATCGCCGGCTCGGTGGGGGGCAGCCCCCCCCGGCACCCATGGGGGTGCACGCAGCACCGCGCCTTCCAGCTTCATCTCTCGCCCCGGGGGTCCTGCATCGCCCCGGGGTCCCGCACAGTCCCGCTGCCCCCGGGGTCCCACATGGTCCTGCGGGTCCCGCACGGCCCGGGGTCTCGCACGGTCCCTCCGCCGCCGGGGTCCCGCG